AAACAAAAATTCCTAAAAGATGTATTGATTCAAGAGATTTGAGTGAGTTATCATACTTACTTCCTTAAGAATCCTTTGTTGTTGGCATTACAAAACCTTCCTTTAAAGGAAAATTAATAGATATCATTTCAAGAAAATATTTAAAAAGAATCTTCAGAAGAAATAAATGGTATCAACAACCAATGAAATATGCAAAAATTATAGAACAATCTATTTATCTAACATTAAATAAACTAAGAACAAATAATTCAAGCCTTCATGTATAAAAATTTTCAAACATGGCATCATGATGATATTGGCAATAACATAGAGTAAGAAGGCAAGTCTAAAGCAAAATATAATGTCTTACTATAAATTATTTAAGAATTACTTAAAATATGAAAAAACACTCGGAAATCAAGCAACTTGAAATTATGAAATTTGAAACTGACTGTGAACAACTTAAATCCTGAAAAACAAGAAGGCATTAAAAAAAAAAACAATGCAATTGGTAAAAAGATTTGGAGAAAAATAAAATTTGAAACCCACTTAAACTATAATTGGAAACAAATCTAATTAATTCAAACCTATAAAAAATAAAAACAAAATAATCATGCATCCTATCCCAAAAAAGAACTAAAACTTAGTAATGAAATTGAAAATGTTCTAAAATCTAAGATGTATAAATAAAATATTATTTGACATTTAGGATAATGATTGATTAATATCTTCAAGTGTTTGAATTTCTTCTTTTTAATATAAAGAATTTTAGGTTTATGATAGAAACTTGAATACTTATTAATTGATTGGGGGTTTTAAAAAAATTTTAATGATAAAGTTAGTATATTTATAAGAAATAAATTAAATAAATTAAAAAAACCTTAAATTAAAAGAAAGAAGATATTTATTCTTGATTTTTAAGTTGGTTAATACTTTAAAATCTATATATTTTTATTTTAAAAGATGATTTTTTTTTAATTTGATATATTTACTAGATTTATATTACCTTTAACTGGATGGACTAACAAGTTCAAATTCTTTGATTTTGATATGTTCACTAAATATATATTAACTTAGATTTGATTAAATATTAAATCTAAATATTTTAAATATGATATAATTACCAGACTTATATTATATTACACCTAGGTATCTACAAAGTTTAAATTTATTTTATAGGTTTGGTTCTCTATCAAGTTAAAATTTCTTATATCTGTTATATTTAACATATTCATATTACATCCAATTATCAAATCTAAATTTTCCAAGTTCGCCCAACCGACATATTATACATAACACACGTGCAATGCTATGGAAAAGCCGAAGTCTTAATATTTGTGCGTAGCTGTAAAAAAAGAAGAAGAATCAGGATCAGTTATGAACTCTCATCTGTTTGTGCAAAAAACAAAATTAAAGAAAACAATGACTTTATTATTTCTTTGGAAGGTTCGACAAGACAGAAGATATTCAAGGGATTAATTTGATTTATTGAGGGGATTAACAATTGGACACATTTTCTTCTTCTTTTTTGACAACCCTCGAGCCATGAAATAATCAATGCGTTTTTGGGACAAGTAATGCCAATGACTTAAATGCACCTGTATGAATCTGGCTCCCTCCTTCACCCCCATTAATGTGATATTATTTCTTGCACCACCTTGTTCTACTACATGTCATTAATGGCGCTTTGGGATTTTCCCTTCGATGCCTCGTTGTCAGCCCATTTTTACCATTTCCTACCACGAATTTTCTGAGTAACATGTGAACCCTCTGTAGCATTTTATTATCCCTGCATCTGTGTTAGGTACATTAGCAGGAATTTTATTCGAGATTGAGACTAAGCAAGCTCCAATCTAAGGATTTATAAGATCAGCAACCCTTGTACTAAGCAGCAACCCTACATCAATAAACCGGACAAGGATTCAGGTTATTTATGAAAAAATGTACTTAAGAAAATAACGCTATCAAATTAATTTTAATCATGAAAGAAAATGAATAATACAGCGCGGCATGTCAGAAAGGAAGGTTTTTTTTTTCTTTTCTTTTAAAAAATAGCGGCTAAAAAAATATTTCCAAACTAGCGAAGCTGAAAACTTATTTTTTAAAATAACACAATTTTATAAAACATACACATCACACCTGCATGACCCACTCACACATGCAGGTGCGACGTGCACGGCGAATCAGATTAAAATCGGCAAAAATCCCTTTCCTTTTTCCCCTTATTTCTCTTTTCCACCTTCTCCTGCCCTGCACCACCCTCCCCCTCATCCTCCACCGCGAAAGCTTGCTCCCCCCACCCCCCTCCCCCCCACCGTGTCCTTTCTCTCCCTCTATTTACCTGCGCATCTTGAGGTCATACAAGTTTCACATGCACATTTTATAGTCGCGCATGTGTGAACCTACATGTTTTATAAAGCCGTGTTATGTTAGAAAATAAGTTTTCAATTGTGATAGTTTGGGTATATTTTTTTGCTACTGTGTGCTATTTTTTTTATAAAAAAAAATCATGAGTGCCACGGAACCACAAAAATACTTGATCAGTTGATGAGTGATTATCGGATGATTAATCAAAACATTTTGTTTTGACTCGTCCAGATGGAAACAGGAAGGACTGCGATCGATCATGTGATTTTTTAGGCCGTGGCCCTTGGGGATTTGGCAGGTTGGTAAGGGATGGTTGGCTGGGCATGAAAAACTGCTACTTGTAGGTCCCATTTTAAGAGGCTGGTCCCCGTTTAGACCTACAGCAACTTCCATGACATTCACCCACGGTCTACCCTACACCATTTGGGCCCTTCTATCCTTGTAAGTAGTGCTGTTGGACGCAGGTGGTAGAGGGTCTTCAAAATAGTGTCCTTACAGATTTGGACCCCAGTCGACTAGATTTATCTGTGGTGAAGCCTGTGTTTGGTAATTGGCGGGAGGTCAATTTTGAGTTCTTTGAGTAAATCCTAGAGAGAAACCAAATTGAAAATTCTGTTGTTGCCATTTTATGGTGCCACCGAACTTTTCTCTTCTTATTATATATAAAACAGCAAGAGCGCATGATTTGACCCCAAATATTTTATTCTACATAGGAGCTAGCCAGGTAGTATAATGGCACCAGGAGGTTTTACTAGCTAGCCCTTGGACTCGGACATTTTACAGGGTCTTAAATTGAAGGCAGCTGTCATGTTGTGAAGCCCTAGTCATTTGTTCGTTGCAAATAGGCAATTATAAAACAAGACTCGGAACTAAAAACCATGCTTATAAAAAAATATACAACCCGGTGAATGCAAACCATCAACCCAAATGCTGGCCGACGCTACTTTTTTTTTAAAAATAAAACACAATTGTTTCAATATTTTTAAAAAAAAAACAATCATAGAGTTAATATTCCAATTTACAAGTTAACTAATCTAACCTGAACTTTGGTCAGCAATGTTTGTAATGAATTGTATTTTATGACTATGCTATAAAAAATAATTTAAAAATGGAAAAAAGACATCTATTATCTCATCATAAGCTGTCCACTGATACTCCCCTCCTTTCTTGTCAAAAAAAAAAAAAAACAATACGAGGTCGTCATCCTAATTATGTTATGTTAAATTATAGGTATTGTTTGGAGGAGCACATGATCGAATTCGATTTCCGACATGTTTATCCTCCAAGTTCGCTGATCTTATTTGGCCGTGTTATTATTCCCTGACACCACCATATTTGAGCACGATCTCATCAGTATAGGTGTTTCTGAGTACCTAACTTAAGAGCCCATTTAATCATTGATTCATGTGTTGTCTTTCGTGGTCAACATATCATTACATCAGACCTGATTCCGCCGATACTTATGCCGGCAAGCACCCAGTTTATTTCTTGCGTCTTAGTATCTTTCATTTTGGTGTGTTTATAGGTCTGATAGTTGTTTCTTTGTAATTTTTTTTTAAATATATTAAAATAATATATTTTTATTTTTTTAAACTTATTTTTTATATCAGAAAGTTAAAACGATTTAGTAACATTAAAAAATTACTTTGAAATAAAAAATCAAATAAAATTTAATTTTAATTTTTTAAAATATTTTTAAAACATAAAAATAAACAAGCGAAGATGCAGAAAACAGACACAAAGGGGTAATAACTGATGCCTTAGGGCATTAGCCCACAGCTTTTCAAGCCGTATATATATATAAAAAAAGAATTTCATTCCAGTGGAGAGTAAGTTCTCAGCCCAGTGTTACGAAGAAAAATAAGCTAAGGAGTCCCGTAATACATTCTTTAATTCTTGTTAAGAAGAGCCCATACTTAAGCCCATTAATAATAGATACTAGCCCGCACGACGTCGTTAAAACCCATTCTAAGACAGCAACCTTGCCAGCCCATTTTCTTAATGTTAAAGATAATAGATCAAAATCAAGCTGCCTTTTTTTATTTTTAAATATCCTTTTGTAAGAGACGATTTACTAGATTAACCTACTCTTCAATTTTGATATATTTCTCAAATACTATTAAAAAAAATTTATTTGCTTTTTAATAATTTTTTAAAACATAATAATACTAGTAATAAATTCTTGATGAAAAATCGTTTAAAAAATGTTTTTTTATAATTAAAATTTTTTAAATAAGTTTTAATTCATAATTTTATAACATTTGTGATTTTTTATCTTCTAATTACATAAAGTATAAATATACTATTTAAAAATAAAACATGGTTAGGCTCTGTGGCCATTGGCTTTTTCCCTTTTCTTTTGGTATTTTTACATAGAATAATAAATATTGAAGAGTAATAAATTAAATATCCAGTGAATTAAATAAATTCTTATTTTTATAACGATGATAAATTAAAAAAATGTTTTAAAATATTTTATTTTTTAAAAAATAAATAATTTAAAAACACTTCATTTTCTTCTAAAAGATTCAATAAATACCTTTTTCTTCATCTTTTTATTTGTTAGAGTTTTTGTATTGAAAAACTCAAAATTTTCCGACCTAAGATTTTTTTTGTATTAATCAATAAAGTCCAAAAATGAAAAATCACAGGCGCTAGGTTGTGCTGGACTCTTTTATCCAAAACGACGCTCTTTCATATCCTAAGTCCCTAACCTCTTCTAACGACCACAATGTTCACCTACGCCACCGCCACATAAACACTCCAACAACCACAAATGGCCGAACCACCACCGACACTCCTCCAAAAAGTCTTGACGGTAGACAGAAAACTCTCCCACTACCTCCATTCCAAATTCCACACTTACCTCCCAATATTCTTTCTCCTCATCCTAGAAATTTCAGCCGACTTCCGCTTTTCTTTCCCCATTTCCCTCTCCCTATTGTTTGCCCTTCCCCTCCCTTCCCTCCTTCCGTTCTTTTCCTCTCTCCTCCTTGGCCTCCTCCTCGATATCGCCGCCGTCGGCCTTGTCAAAATCCTCTTCCGCCGCCCTCGCCCTCCTTATAACCACCTCTCCTCCATGTCCACCCCTGTCTCCGCCGACCACTTTTCCTTCCCTAGTGGCCATTCCTCTCGTGTTTCCTTTGTTGCTGCATTGGTTTTTCTCTACAAGGAGGTGATGGAGGTAGCGGCTGTGGAGGTGAGGGAAAAAGGTGGAGTCTTTGGAAGTTGGGTGGGGGAAGACGGAAAGTTGGTGGACGTCGTGATGGTGGGAGTTTGTGTTTGGGCAGTTGTTACGGCGGTTTCTCGGGTTTTATTAGGGAGGCATTACTTTTTTGATGTCTTCGCAGGGTTTTGTTTGGGAGTGATTGAAGGGGTTTTCGCCTTTCGGGTTTTGAGGTTTGAGGATTTTTTGAGGTAAAGATTTGAAACTTTAACTTTTTATTATTGGCTATGCAATTTGGTACAAAAGTTTATTAGCTCAAGAATCGGAAGCTAGCATTTACATTAATTAAGTTGGATTTTTGCTGATAGGATTGATCATCATTTGGCTAGGTTTTGTAGTGTTCAAAGATCTATGAAATTTAAACAACGTGAACCTTAAAAAGTTTTGGTTGATATAGTAGACAGGAGTAGATGATGGACTATGCTTCAAATAAGGAATGATGCTATCCATGATGTTTACAGAATGCGACTAAATTTACAAGTATGTTTGACTTAAGTTAGATGATGAGGTAAGAGTTCAGTTACTTCGGCATTACTTGCTTTTGATGAATTGATCAATTCATCTGTCATTGGCGTTAGGTTGTCAAGACCCTTTGAGTTCCAGTCATGAAAGATGCTGGTTTCCATGCTGAGTTTTATTTTCTGGTTCTTCCACTTTGCCCATGTACCTTCATGTCCAATATGGCAATGCGCGAGGAATATCATTCTTTTATTGGATTTGTGTTGCTGGAGGGTTGTCGTTGTCAATACTTGTTGGGTGGCTTGCTACTGAAACGTCACAAACTGGCTGGATTGCTTAATTTTGGGTTAGAAATTGATCATGCAATGGTAAATTTGGGCTCATGTAGTGCATTTGTGGGATTATGGATGGGGGAAATTATGATTGTAGATGACAAAATTGTAGAAATGTAATTGTTAAAGTTAGCATGCAAAGTAAGATTTTCCGAGGAACGTATATAATTTAGCATCACTAGATCTCTAGCACCAGTAAAGTACCAGATCAGGAATCGGCGGATAGAATTTTCATCTCGGCTTGCAAAGCAAAAGGCCCATTTCAAGCACAGTCCACTCTGTAAAAATCACTTATGTTTAGATTTCAGTCCATTCTGTCATTCAAACCAATGCTTGAGCTGATTCTGAACTTCCTAAACACCTTCACCCTCCCGCGAGTCTTTGGGTTAGTCATCCTGATCAGTGATCAACTTTTTTCAATTTTGTTTATTCGCGTTCTCTCTCCCAAGTTTTTCTTTCCATGAAATACCAACTTTATGGATGTCTTTTAATGAACTTCCATAGTGTACACAGATTGGTTGACAAAACAGTAGAATGAAGTGGTTTGGTGCATTTGATGGACCATTTGCTGGCTCACAGGGAAATGTGACAGTAGAATGGTTACCTATTATCAGCTTAACATAACTGTAGGGAAGGTTACCTGCACTGCACTCCCCTTTAATGAATATTGTTTTTCATTTGCCAGCTTTTCCCTTAAAGATGTACATTAATGTAACTCATTTGAAATATGTTGTTTGGATTTATTAACTAGCTAAAATTTGAGAAATATGTTTGGATTTATTAACTAGCTAAAATTTGACTACTAATAAAGATGAGTTAAACAAGCCTAATTTTCCTACTTGCAGTACCTTTCGTCATCAAATCTGGTCAAGGTAGAAGCTAAGTGCTTGGAATGGAAGGCATGGGACATGCTTCCTTTGAAACTGATCATCAGATGGACCTTTCTGGGTTTATCTTGATGCCAGGTCCATATTCAAGGTATCATTTTCTCTGATGCGAAGCCCCAGAATTCTAAGATGATTGGTGCGAATTCTCTGAACACACAGAATACTGAAATGTGCTGCTGGCGAATGCCATTTATTCAACTAAGTTGTGGCATTGTTTTGTCTCAATATGCACAGTTCACTGGTCATTCGGCATTAAATATGATTCTCGATTCTCTTTAATATCACATAAATGCAATTGTTATTTGCTACAATTTAATCATAATGGGATTGATGGAACTGGTTTAGTTGGACCTTTATATGGTCATAAGTTCCAGTAAAATAATGGATGACTCAAGAAGCAACCGTATATTATCTGTGTTCAAACCCTCACCTGTTTTGAGAGTCTTGCATCCACTATAATGTCGCCTGCCGATGCGAAAAGCTTGTAGTGCATCCAACTTTCAGGTTTCAGAACAATAGTGCATGTATCTTTTGGGGCACTAAAACGATGGGGCTGATGCAAAAGCCACGTATATCTTCGATGGCTAAAAAACTTTCGGACTGTCCTTGACTGGCACATGAGCTACTTTAGCTAGCTGCGGGCAGCCAGCTTTGCATAATTTGGGCCAGCCCCTTAAATCATAGCTATTCAGTTTAGATAGAGTAACGGCCCATGAATGATGTGAGGACAAACCTTTTCCTACAAACGCGAGGAAAGTAGTTTTGCAACTTAACCCCAGATGCAAGCACTGAACTGGTGCTACCACAAGTTTAGTAATTCCTTTGGGGTCTCTCATGGCTTTCGTTTGGTTCTATCATCCGAGAAGCTAAGCAATTGCTCCAACTGCTGCTCGAGATGCTGAAGAGATTGGTAATTTCTTATATTATCATAAACGAAGAAGAGACTAGCTCCCCTTATTGACTCTATGGCTATTGCGTATTTTCCGACAGAAGCTAAGCATTGTATTTCCAAATAATTAAAAGTTTACAAAGTAATTAGCTCAGATTTTTGCAATCTAAAAACTTGCTTTTGTTTTTTGAATTAGCCATGATAAGGTAACTCTATTCGATAATGTAATGTTTGTTGGTTGATGGATTATTGTTTTGGTTTTAGTCAATCAGGAAAAAGCGCATGGAAACTTGCTGGATTAAGAATGTCATGATGAAAATATGGAACACATCCAGGCAAACAGAGCTTCGATACTTTGAGATGTTACGTGATACTGACATCTGGTAGCATTATTGTATGTTAGCTTGGTGGATATATAGAAAAGGAGTTGTAGAAGACTGGATGATGTTTTTGGCTAGCGTGGCCCGAGTCATCATTGTTCTTGACGTCCATTTCCAAATATTGCTGTTGTTGAAAAAGATATGCACATGCATTCTTTTAATTCTGAAAATGTTTACACTGCGTTTTGAGTTGCAATCACATGTTGCTACTGTGGAATCTGAAGACAGAATGCCCCAAATAAGAAACGGGACAATCATGGAGGCTAACGAGATTGACATTTGCCGATGCTCCGTCGGCGCTGAAACGGCCTGCTAGAAGAAAAATATGCTCGGGTTTGTTTTGAATTGATTACACAACACTTGTTATGCATAAGCTATAGAAGACCACCAACAGGTTACAGCAATTTCTACAGAGGACATGAAACGTGAGAGTTTTAAGACTTCGAGTCCACAGAAACACCATCCCTGTCATTTTCTATATGGTATCGTGGGCCAATTGTCTTTTCTCCGTCTTAGAAGATTAGGGTTGGAGATGATACATGGACTTTTTTATTTGAACCGTGTCGTCGAGGGCTTTGGTCAGTGTATCATGATTGGTAGATGGAATTAGCACGAAAAAGATAAATTATATAAATGTCCCAATCTCTTATGTCATAAAAATATCTCATACAATTATTTAAATCTTCTTTGTATCATCAACTTTTGAAATAAATGGCTAAAACAACTATTGCCATTGTGCCAGGATGCATGAACTTGTCCTTGTTGACCATTTGGTGGCTGGAGCAGGTTTATAGAACGGCACCCTAGGCTATATATGTCAATGTGGTTGTTCACCAATGAAGTATGTTCCTTCAAGCTTCATGGACCGACCTAGAACCTGAGTCCCTCTGAAATGTTAGGCCAGTCAACTCTGTTAACATTTATGATGACCAAATGTGAGGCAAAAGTTATGCTGAGAAAGCCTGTTATGGATCAGCATGATCAGTATCTGTCTTATTTCTCTTCTTGCTAGCTAGTGAGTGGAACCCCAAGACAATGATGCGAATACACGAGGCTGAACTGGGTTTTTTTCGCAGTTTGTACTTATAAATACAGTAATTATTTTGGGAGTTTGGATGTGGCGATTTTATTGGGCATTGACTGGACTAATTTGGACATATTGTCACTAGCTGGATAATCGGTATCTTTTCATTTTCCAAAAAGTTGAAGGACCACTGGGAGGCCATGTTTGGGTTTTGGAGTTAAGAAGGTTGGATTTATTACCTCATGCCTTTGCTTCTTTCTTTTATAAATTTCCCCTCCTCTATTCACCAGTTAATTTATTTACCTGCCTGGCAACAATCGGATAACCTGGGCAGAGAGATTCAGAGAAGAAAGACTGCCACAAAATGCAAGAGAAATCCTGGTAGAATTTGGAGGGATGAGGTCGACAGCGCATCATTTGAATTACTTTTGTCCTCTCTGTTTCGCTCTTTATCTGTGTTGTGTGTGACAGAGATGATGCGAGATTTTTTTTTTACAGTAGAGTTTGCTTTCTTTATAAGATGCATGCATGCATCTTTCTTTCTTCTTCTTCTTCTTCTTTTAATTATTGCACTAATAATTAATCATGAGTTGATTAAACCTCAGTCCCTGCTGTTTAACAAAAGTAATTGGTCCTCATGACTTTTTACATTGTTATTTAATCCCTATACTCTCCATTACGGTAAAGCTTAATTATTTTTTTTGATAAACTCCAAGGATTAAATTATAATTAACTCAATAATCATTATAGTGTTCATATAGTTGAGCTAAATATAGCAATATATTATTTTCAGAATAAAAATTATAACAACAAAATTAATTTAGTGGACACAGAAATTTAAGATGGAAGGGTTATCATATATATATATATATATATATACAAGTAGTTGGAATTATAATTTCTACGGCTGATATTTGGCCTTACCAAATACCAATCCAAATAATGATAACGAAAACGTTTATCTACGTAACTTTTTGTTTATGAGACTCATTGCTATTCTCATCAGAAGAAGAAGAAGGGTAATTATCACTCATGAAGAAGAAGAAGAAGAAGGGTAATTATCACTCATTTTTCCATGAAACTTATTGAAATGTTCCAAATTAAATCCATTGTATTTCAGTGATTTTAATTTCTCTGCGTGAATTTACCTCTTGGATCTCCTACCTCATTTTCGATGAATCTAATTTATTGTTCTCATTGATTTGTCACTTTCACCAAACAGAGAGCAATAATTTGGTCAAAGAAAGAAAGAAAAACAGAAGTAACTGGTCCTGAGAAATCATTTCGCACCCTTTAGTTTTGGGTCAAATATGCTTGCTAGCTAAGAAATTAAGACTGGAATGTAGTGGGTAATTGTACTGGTCCTATCTATTGCTCTGGATTTAGCACTCAAAAATAACTTTGTAGTTATTGGAGCTGCAAAATCTGCAACCACCGCCGATTCTAGAGGGCCCCCCCCCCCCCCAGAGCCCCCCCCCCCATGGCGACTCTCTTCAAAATTCATCCTTATTTGCTTTAATGTATATATATATATAACTTTTTTTTTTTGTTATCTAGTCAAATTCGTACCTCCATGCCCTCTGAGGATGGTGGAGGTAACTTAGTACAGCACTGCCAAACATTTGGAGTACGGTAAATTAATCAGATTCCAAAGATGCAGTTTTCATAACTACCATGACTTCAAGTGCTATTATTTTATTTTATTGCAATTCAATTATGTAAAATAAATAACTTATACTTAAGAAGTCATTTTAGTAAACCATTGGAAGGATAATAGCTTTTTACTGTGTTGGGTTAGGTGTTTTGATATTCGACCGAATTCGAATTTTACGAAAACCCAGTTACTGGATGGAAAGAATTGGGACCGGATGCTGTTCGCTACAAAACAAATTTAGAGTATTTTATATTATGATAGTAATTATTTTTGAAAATAATTTTTTTATAAATATATTAAAATAAAATGTTAAACATCAACAAATCAAATTTTAAAATAATTTTTATTTATAAATATATCAAAATAAAATTTTGAACATCAATAAATCAAAATGATTTAAAATATTAAAAAATTCAATTAATTTTAATTTTTTTTAATTTTTTTCAAAATACTTTTTAGAAAAAAAACATTTTTAATTTTTTTCAAAATACTTTTTAGATTTTGCTCAAACACGTTCAAGATCACATTAAAGTTTTATTTGATTAAAATTTATATAAAAGATTTAAAAGAATTTAAAATTTTAGATTAAAAGGATTTTCATCACTATATATATATATATTATTCAATTAAAATTTACATAAAAAAATTAAAAGGGTTATCCTCTTAATCAATTCACATCCGAGATTTCAATTTAAAAGGACTTACTATAAATCCAGATACGTTTTCTTTTAAAGTTTTCTTTAGATATTTATTAATTACATGTGAAAATGATGAAGTTCTAAGATAACAAATATTAAAATTTTATTTGATTGTTTACGCTTACAATTAGATAACTGATTACATGTCTTATCAAAGCATTAATTAAATTTAGGAGCTCATGCATGTTTCTTCACTATAAAATTATTGTTTCTTTTAATTTCTCACAAACCCTAGATTTTACCGAGGGATTTTTTATTTATTTATTTTAACCTCCTGCTGCTGCCTATTATGACAATTGATGATGAATCAAGGAATATTTCAAGATATAATTAAATCGATTGATACCTGTTACAAGTAAGTGCTAGTTGTTAGATGATACTTGATTGTGCCGGCCAATCATTGTTGAACTTGTGTTTGGTGCAAAAGAACATGAATGGAATTGAAATAAAAGGTCTTGTACCAGTAGATGGAATTAGTAAGATGGAGATCACTTGGATGTGCCTTCAGCTGGAGGACAAAAATCTATGTAATGGGAGAGAACAAAAAACAAAAAATAAAAAATAAAACCTTTTTCTATTATATCCACACATTAAATCCTAGTACACTGGGAATCTTAGAGCTCAGCCATTAATTTTCCATCACTCGTGTAATAAATAAATAAAAATAAAGTGGTGGGTTCTATCATTTAGGTGCGGGGTCATATGGGATTCTCCTTTATTACATCATGTGAAAGATATATCATCCTAAGATACAACTTTAAATAAAAAGAATGATTTGTTATTCAACAAAGTCATCAAATCCTTAAGACAGATAAGTTTTACGTTGTATAATGTTTTTCTTCTCAATTACCCATGAACTTTGATGCTTATAAATGTCATGATGATAAATATTAATCAATAAAGTATTCATATCCTTAAGATAAATAAGTTTCACGTTGTATAATGTTCTTCTTTTCAATTACCAATGAATTTTAATGCTTAGAAATGCCATGATGTTAAGCTTTTATTATTAAAGTATTCAAATCCTTAAGATAAATAAGTTTCACATTATATAATGTTTTTTTTTCAATTATCCATGAATTTTAATACTTATAAATGCCATGATAATAAATATTTTTAAGTAAATTGAAGTTCATTGTTATAAGATATTTTAGGATTATTCACAGGTTGATTAGTTGCTTTTATGATTAATGAACATAATTGTTGGTAATCAATAAGTGTTTGTACATCCAAAAATAATAAATGTATCTAATTAGTACATGTATAATCACCAAATAAAGTCAAAATTTATGGTTATTGTTTTATGTATATTGTTGTATCGTCTAAAAGAGATCATCGTGTGAATATTTTTTTTGAATTTATATAATATATTTAAGTTTTGGTTCAAAGCATTAATATTTAAGTATTTTATGAATCTTTATCATATCTATTCTTATTTCTCTTCATTTACATGATTCATCTGTTCCAATATTCAATGAGTTTAATTTTTCTAATTGGTGTGAACAAGTCCAATTTCACTTGGGTGTTTTGGATCTTGATTTGACACTTCAAGTTGAGAAATCCATTGCTATTATTGACACTAGTAATATTGGAGATAAATCTTTTCATAAAGCTTGTATAGATCAAACAGATTCAATTTAATCTTTATGTGAATGAGTAAAACTAACAATATTAAGTCTGTTTTCTTCAAAACTGAAAGTGCTAAGGAATCTATGATATTTATGGAAGAGCATTCCTAAATTGATAATAATTCACTTGTTGTGACATTAACACTGCGAAGTTTGATAATTCTCATTCCATACATTAGCATGTCGTTGAAATGACAAATATCTTAGTAAAACTTAATTTACTGAGAATGAATGTGGATGAGAATTTTCTTTTATAATTTATTATCAACTCATTACCTTTTAAATATGGTTCTTTTCAAATGAACTACAATACCATGAAGAATAAATGGAATGCTATGAATTGCAAAATATGCTTGTTTAGGAGAAAACAAGATTTAAGAATCATGGAACTCATTCCGTTGATTTTTTAAACAATCAAGGAGCTGGAGAGATGGTTGGTGAACAACAAAGAAAGGGCAAATATAAACCACTTAGGATAAATGAATCTTCTTTTCAAGATTGTAAAAAGGAATTTGAGAAATATAAGTGTCATTTTTATGAAAAACATGAATACTTTTAGAAAGATTTCTTGAAATGTAAAGCATGGTTAGAAAAGATTGGTAAGCCTTATGCTTTGGTATGTTTTGAATTAAATTTAATTAAGATTCCTTATAATTTTTAGTAAATTAATTCAGGATGTACCGTTTATGTCTCTAATACAATGCAAGAATTTTTTTCAATTCAAACCAAAAACCTAAATAAAAAGCTTGTCTATATAAGAAATACAATCAAAGTTCAAATTAAAGCCATTAGAACTTATTATTTGATTATAGACATAATACGTCATTTTGACTTGTTTCAAACTCTTTATGTATCCTTAATTTCTCAAAATTTAGTTTCTTTATCCAAACTTAATAAAGCTGAATATTCTCATAGATATGAGAAATGATGATTTAGTTTTTGTAAATATAATCGTATTAGTTCATGTATTATTTTTGAATATTTGTACAAGTTGAACCTTGAAAACCTTCTTATCAAAACCCTTTTGACCTTGCATCAAAATAGTGGTACTAAACATGGTTTGGTAAATGAACATTATACTTGCTTGTGGTATAAATGATTGGGCCATATTTCCAAATAAAGATCGGAAAGATTATTAAAAAATGAAATCCTTCCGGGTTGAATTTAAAGGGGTTTAGTATGGGCCTAGATGCACTTTCTTTCAATGTTCTCTTTAGATATTTATTTATACATGAAAACCATGAAGTTCTAAAATCAATATTTTATTTGATTGTATATGCATACAATTACAATTAGATGATGGAGTCCTCAACTACTTTGTTCTTTTTAGTTAATTAGTGGGATAAGTGTCTTTTCTTTCCACATTTTTTTCGCTAAAAGTCTGTGTAACCATAATTCCAATTTGAATTCAAGGATAGAAAAGGATCTTCCTCTTTCGTTCATGGAAGCTACATTAAAAAATCGATTGCATCAATTATAAACGGGGTGAAGACAAAAAATCATAAAAGGTGAAGCGCCTTCCAATTCTTGGTGGGCACCTTTTTTCATTGCACACAGATGGAGCCTGCACAGGGAGAACATTCTTTTGTTTGCTGGTGTAGTTTACGTGGAGGTGAAACCTCACAGGAGCAAGGTAAAACCTCAAAGTGCGAAAGCATGCTGAGATTGACCAAGACATATAGATGGATAAGCTGCGTTCTCCTGTTCATTTATCAATCAATTATGATGCCAGTTTGGTGACTCGAAATTGGGTAACTCATGATTGATAAGTTGAAACTCTTCGTGGATCTTGCAATTTAGACACAAATAATTGTAAGAACAAAACTTGGAATCGAGATTGGTAAGGCTGCCCTTCAATGTTTGGATAGCTTCTTTTATTACTATACTTTATTAGTTATTTTCTTTCATATATTTTTTAAAAAATAAAGAATAGAAAAATCACTATTCATAAAAAATAATAACAATATCTCAATTGAAGATTTTTCTATCACAATTATGTCTTTTTATTTATATAAAATGAATCTAGAAGGCGTAAAATATCAGGAGTTACTACAGGAGTAAAATTACTCATTACTCCGTGACGAAGAAGAAAATAAAATAAAAATAAAACTCCCACTCAACTGTCACTTTAATTGCCATTCTGCCATCACCCTCTCTTCCTTAAGTACCGGCTCTCTCCCTCTCTCTCTCTCTCTGCTACACGGTTTCTATCCTCCCTCAATGGCTTGCGCGCACACACACATGTATAACATAAAAACTGCAACTCTTTATGTACCAGCATTAATATTTTATACCTCAAGTACCCATTTTATGAACAACCCAGGAGCCAAGATCCTCTCTTTCACCATTTTTCTCTAGAATTCCCTATCTCTGGTATTGCCAAACACTTCGTTCTTTCATTGATTCACTGTCTCTTCGGATTTATATTGTTCTGATTTCTCTCTCTCTTTGTGTGCGTGTCAATGCAGGAAGTGCTAGCTAGCTTGTTGTGGGATTATCAATTTTTTAATTTTTTTTCTATTACCAATAACAACTTAGCATTAAGTTTTTTTTTTTTTTTTTTTTTTGGTTATAAAAATGAGGGGCAAAGAAATGCATCCATTATGCTGCATCTCACTAGAGAGCTCGGAAGTTCGGAGCCAATCACCGGATGCAACGTTGACACGAGCAAGATCGTTGCCGGAGACATTTTTCGGTGGATCTAACGGCAATGTAGGGAGGACAGAGGCGGGGTCGAAGGCGACGGTGGCTGGAGTGTTGTACAAGTGGACGAATTATGGGAAAGGGTGGAGATCGCGGTTGTTCTTGTTGAAAAATGGTGTGCTTTCTTACTCGAAGATTCGACGGCCACCGGAGAGTATTAATCTGGGTGATGATGTTAGATTGATCGGAGAAATATCGACGAATCGATTATTGAGATTGGAAAGTCGTGGCGGCAGTGGAAGACAGAAACTGCAAAAAACTGTTGGCCTTGTTCATTTAAAGGTACTATCATTAAATCGAAAATCAGAAATGGAAATCTAAAACTATGACCTTTAATTTAAATGATAAACAAAACGGAAGTGCTTGCTAAAAATTTTTTTTATTCATTTATCCATCCATTTTCATTGCTGTGCGTGTCTTTTCTTTTTCTTTTTCTTTCTAGCGGTAGTGGAGGAAGTGTTGCTGGTATTGGAATTTTCTTTTTAGATTTTCAAATTAGGAAAAGGATGATTTTTCTTTTTTTAAGAAAAAAGATTGCTTTTGTTATTGATTTTAATGTATGGATGGAGTTTTGGGTTTTGTTTTTACAGTTTCAACTGGGTGTTAATGTACAGTGGGTCACATCAGCAGGTGGGTGTGGGGGAGGGGGGGTTATGGAATGGTATGGCTAGAATAAGGTACGGTGTAGATCTAGGTAATTCCAAGCTTTGGTCACATCGACGGCCTTGCATGGTTGGATTTTAGCACCATCAAATGATCTTTCATTTCTTGCTTTTTATCATCGACTTCGTGGTTTTCACTCTTCTCACATCTCATCCATAAACCAAACCTATAGACCTTATAGGTTTTTTCTCATCTTTATTTTTGTGGGACTTTTGAGAAGACGACTGCACCATGATAATATCTGTTTTCCCGTATATAATTATATTCTGTGCTGTAAAGATATTCTTGGTTTAAAAAAATATGTAACTATCACTGGGCGCGGGCTTCCCTTATTTTTCAAGTCTAGGTTAGGGAGTTCATTTTAATTTGACTACTATTTATAAACCGAACAAACAACAAGATGCTTTTATGCGAGCATTTAAAAGCATATCCTATCTCAGGCTTCTATAGGGCAGTGACAAACTTTAGTATATCAGGGTCTTGTTTTTTGACCAAGTCATATCGGGGTCTAGGTGGTGGTTTTTGGCTTTTGAGTTTCTACAGCTGATCTATATTCTTGTGACCAAAACATTTGTTCGGGTTATTACCGGTGCTGGTTGTATAACGAACTAGTTTAAAGGGTTTTGCTCCTACCTTGGTTAGTTCTCGGTGACCTGAAACTGAAAGATGGTTGGACAGGACTCGGTTCAAAAGTCTTAACGGTTCCTCTTCTGGGTATGTCTTCTTTTTTTTTTCCATAGTAAATTGCTACTTATCCTGGATTCCTGGGGAATCTTGTCCTTTCAACGTTATAGCTTCTCCTTATCTAAATGAATTTTTGAAATTTAGAACACGTTCACTGTTCAAACTTATTCCAGATATTTGATTTTGTTTGTTGATTTAGTCATACGATTATTCTACCATCCTAGTCGTGATATTTTTAGCATTTTCTTATTTTACAATGTGATATGCAATTGTTGCAAATGTTTATCGGGATGTTGTCTGAATTGGTGTGGCAGATTTCATCATTTCGTGAGAGCAAGTCCGACGATAAGCGGTTTTACATATTTACTGCTACTAAGACACTTCATCTGAGAACTGATTCAAAGAGAGATAGAGTGGCTTGGATGCGAGCACTGGTCTCAACTAGCAGCCTTTTCCCATCAAGATCGCTAAATGATAGTATCTCCCTTGTTCCAAATGATTTGTCTATCTCAACTGACAGGCTTAAGAAACGTTTACTTGAAGACGGTATCAACGAGAACATCGTAAAGGATTGCGAGCAGATCATGCTATCAGAGTTTTCTGAAATACAAGTACAAGTTAAAGTTCTTTGTGAAGAACGGTCCAATTTGCTTGACACATTAAGGCAACTGGAGGTAAAAAAACGACTATAACTTTATTGGAGATGTTTGGGGTGATATTCAGTATATTTATTTATTCATTCACATTATCTGAATTAATTGTTTTTTTTTCATTGCATTATCATGTTAAATTTGAAAATGCTGTGATCAATCCTTTTCTAAAACATAAATAACTTAATGAGAGGATGAATTCAAGTAATTTTTCATCTTCAAGTGAAAAAATACTAAGGTTGGCCAAACAAATCTTCATCCTTTTGACAATTTATATGACCTTAGCTTCTCTAGATGTAATGTATTGACTGGCTCGTTTCTTGATAAAACTCTTGGTTTTGTTGAACTCCAATATCTTCATGGATAAGGTAGCAGCTTAAACCTTCCCGAGGGGTAAAATATGTCCTCACTGCTCTTAACATATATTTTGCTTTCCAACCTCTAACTTTGAAATTTGCTTGAAAACTTAGGATCATAGTGTATGAGTAAGGCACATGTTCATCGCTATTTAAATTGAAAAAAATGTAAATTTCAGTGGTTAATGCAACTTCTGCTTTTCGTTTTTAAAATCTGACATTATCACAAAGTGTTGGAAAGGTCTGAATGCTTCGTAATTGATGGGAGTGTTATGGACAGAAAAATTTCCTGCTGCCTGAATATTTCAAATTATGAATAAAGAATAATTAATATATTCTGCCAAATATAGACCGATAGTATATTCACTAGAACATAGAGGTAAACATTTGTTGTCTCAGTATTGGTGTTGAGGAATTACTGACAAATTGCTTTTGCCTTGGCATTGCAAGTGATGAAACAATCTGTGGCAATTGACAAAGTTGATCCAAAAATCTTTTAAATTGTAATATTTGGTTCAATACCATTGATGGATTCTCTAAAATGTGTTTTTTATATACAAAGTGGATTGTTGCAGGTATTATTTTGTGAAGTATGAATGCTTTGAAATAATCTTACATTGCATAACCCCAAGAATTTTTGTTTGTTTGTTTTATGCATGCAGGCAGCTAATATTGAAAATGAAACCACAGGAATTCCAGATGGCGAATATCAATTGACAAAGCATGAATTTTCAAGTTTAGGGCGTGGAAAATATAGTGGTATGGGCATCTGATACTTCATCTTCTTATTGTGAACTCATAATGAATTACTATAATTTTGTCTTTATTCTGATCACTGGAGTCAACTATGGATCCATTCTTATGTAGCAAAAATTGAAGGGTATCTAGTTTATTTTCTTGGAGTTGAAAAATATTTTAAAACAAAATGTCATGCAATTTCCATTTATTATTTTCTGTTATTCGGTTCTCATGATTTCTTGAAAAGACATTTCATTAATATTTTTGCCATGCTTTTTTATTTATCCTTTTCATTTTAAAAAGGTTTCCTGCTCTACAAATTTGCGTCAATAACTACATTTTCAAGGCTACTTTTTATGTATTCTTATTCCTGATGTCCTATTACGGATTTCAGAATATAGCACAACTGAGTCATCTGATGATATTGAGAAACAAGAGCTTGAGGAAGTGTCGGACGAAGATGGAACCTCCTTTTATGATACAAAAGAATATTTTACTGAACTGGCTGTCAGTGGTTTATCAATGACAGAAGTTTCAAAGTACTCTGAGAAGGATAGGAGATTTAATCAGCTTGATAATGAAGATAAAATGCATGCTGAGAAGCGAGTTTGCAGTTCTGGATATCCATATATTGAAAGGCGAAAAAAGCTTCCTGACCCAGTTGAGAAAGAGAAAGGAGTCAGTCTTTGGTCTATGATCAAAGACAATGTGGGGAAGGATCTCACACGAGTCTGTCTCCCTGTTTACTTTAATGAACCAATATCCTCTCTTCAGAAGTGTTTTGAGGACTTGGAGTACTCTTACCTTTTGGACAGAGCCTATGAATATGGAAAAGCAGTAAGAGTTATTATTGCTCTTAGTCTTGATTCATAATGAACAACTTTTTTGTCAAAAGACACATATCTAAGTGTCTGAGTATTGCAAACTCTTTCTCTGAGTATCTATGGTGTTTTTTTTTAATTCATCATTTTACATCTTGTTCTCTTCAATGTTTTTTTTTAATTATTATTATTATATGACATTCATGAATTGTGAACACATTCTGGTGTCTATTATGAGATGGTAAACAAAAAGGGGACAGTCCATGGATAGTGATTGATTTTTTGCTTTATATCTTGATTGCACTCAAGTTTATGGTCTTCGCAACAAAAATCGAGCATTTGAATTATCTATGAGTATTCGGGAATTCAAGGATTTCAGCCGCTAAACTTGTCTTTTTTTTCTGTTCATGATGTTTCTTTGCTGTGATACTGACTTGTACGTTAAGGTTCCATATGAAATAATACTCGCCATTCTAGCATCTTTTGGGAAAACCAGTGCTCTCAAGTAAATATTACTGACTCTGATAGACAATATCTTTAGAATTCCATGCATTGCAGTTGGCTAAACCTTCTCATCATTTGATTGGCAGATGTGAGATGGTTTTCAGATAGCAATAACTTGAGGGCTAAAGATGATCTTGTAATCTGGACTAAGTCAAGTAACTATACTAAAATGCTAACCATATATATTATTGGATTGCTGTTCGGCTCTGATTGTTCCGATGTGTTTTATTTTTTATTTTTAAATTTCAGGGGAACAGTGACCTTAGGATCCTAAATGTTGCCGCTTTTGCTGTCTCTGGATATGCTTCCTCTGAAGGCCGGCACTGTAAACCCTTCAATCCTTTGCTAGGAGAAACTTATGAAGCTGACTTTCCTGATAAAGGAGTTCGTTTCTTCTCTGAAAAGGTCAGTAATCATCTCCGATTCACAACAGAACAGGGTGACTCGACTTAAGAAATATTTAAATTGAACTCACAGTCAGACTACTGACTAAGCTGTGTTGATACATGCCCTTTTCTTTTCTATATTTAACAAAAAATCATGGCATATACTTTGTCAGAGACTTCAATGAATGAATAGAGAGAACTTTAAGAAAAACATGACTGTGATTAGAATCCTAATAAATGAATAAGGGTTTGCCTGCACCGCTTTCTTTTCTAAAGGGGAAATTACAAGTTTTAGAAATTGTAACACTTAAAGAAAAATATATTCCAGTCAAACTACTATGCAGGGTTCGGGAGTAAATTTCTGTTTAAAATTATTCAAACAAAATTGAACCTTGCTTTTAGTTCTTCACTAAAAGTGAAACTAGCCAAACAAAATGTCCTTAGGGAAGATATATGACCTGTCTGGTCATGAATGCTTTTCTCTTCAGACAGTACATTTCAACGATATTTTGAGTTGAAACAGGTTAGTCACCACCCAACTCTCATTGCCTGCCACTGCGAAGGTAGAGGGTGGAAATTCTGGGGTGACAGCAACCTCCGCACAAAATTTTGGGGGCGGTCGATTCAGCTTGACCCTGTTGGAATCCTGACCCTAGAATTTGATGATGGTGAAATATTCCAGTGGAGCAAGGTATGTACTTCTGTGTGGATGTCTGCATCATGACTAGTCAAATCTTTTGATCTTCTAGCTTCCATTTCTATTAGTATGGGGTGCATTTGAATTGATGCAAGATTGCTTATCTGTTAGGTCACAACAACGATCTATAATCTTATCCTTGGTAAAGTGTATTGTGGTCACCATGGGATGATGCATATACAAGGAAATCGACAGTATTCATGCAAACTGAAGTTCAAAGAACAATCTATTCTTGACAGAAATCCTCACCAGGTTGGTCAATTTTGGAAATTTTACTTGAATGCATGAGATCTGACATGTATTTTAATTTTCTGATGAGTGTAATGCTTTTCACTAGCCTGATCAGTGTACATCTGGTAGGTCTGCTGTCAACAGATCATTAGGATACAGCATTGGTCTTAGTTCTGAGTTATTTTCGAATATATAGTACAATTCATTAGTTTCAAGTATTTATAGGTTCAAGGGTTCATTGAAGATGCTTCTGGTAATAAAGTTGCTTCATTATTTGGGAAGTGGGATGACAGCATGTATTATACTACTGGGGATGATACTGGCAAGCCAAAGGATCGGATTCCCTCATCTAATGCCACCTTGCTTTGGAAAAGGAACAAGCCACCTCTTAATCTCACCCGGTACAACTTGACGACATTTGCTATCACCCTAAACGAATTGACACCAGGACTCCAGGTAGTGATGATGTATCAAATTGATTTTCTGATTCTTCTTTTCCAGGTATGCATCTCTATTTATTTTTTTTTATGGCCACATCTAATCCTGGGTATTTGATAACGGATTAAGGAGAGGCTCCCACCCACGGATTCCAGGCTTAGACCAGACCAGCGGCATTTGGAGAATGGGGAATATGAGAAGGCAAATGCAGAGAAACAACGGTTGGAGAGGAGGCAAAGAATGGTATATTCACTCCTTTTGATCTTAACTTAATTATACACTTCATTTTAGTGCAGATATGTTGGGATAATTATAAGAACAGGGAATATGAGTTGAACTTTCTATTGGTGATGGAAGAACTTCTTTTTTGCCCCGGCTAAGATTTGAACTTTATTACTGTTATTAGATATCTAGTGTGACTTTGCTGTTGCTTGGGCTGCATATGAACTAGATGAGATATGGACAATTAGGCCATCATATAATTTTTTGTTAGTTTACCTATCTGTTGCACTGATGTCTAGACCTTACTTCTATTAACATCATTTGTATCCTACTTATCAGTTTAGATCTGGAAGAAATCAAATTTAAGAAACTCTTTGCATGGCTAGATGTGAACATTAAGAGGTGGAATGAGTCATAAATCTTATATATGCACTCGCAAGACCCGTTGTCATCATACTTCATTCATTCTATGCAGTCAAGGAAATTACAAGAACATGGATGGAAGCCCAGATGGTTCCAAAAGGAAGGTGAAAATGGATCTTTCCGCTATGGTGGTGGCTATTGGGAAGCTCGAGAGCAGGGAAATTGGGATGGATGTCCAAATATTTTTGGTGAATTCAATGAAGACCTAGTGGAATCCTCTGAAGGGTCCTGACTTGATTTAGGTGTGTATTCTTCCAGAAAACTGCATTTTCACACTCCTTTAAATGCGGCTGCTTTTGCTGATGAATTGCCATAGTGGATGCCTGAAATTTTTTTGCAATGCTGCACCATCGTTTACGGTGAGACTTGAACTTAAAGCATGTACAAGATTCAATATGGAGGACAATATCCTAGTCAAAAAATGCATCTCATCTGTCCTGGCTTGCGCTTTCCCATGCCATGCTGACTGTTGAAAAGGATAAACAATGAAAAAGTTAATGCATATTATGATTTTAACTGGACCCCTCTAAGCTTAATTTTACCGTTCATAGAATAATTCCCTCTGTTTTCAACGAAATGTCCAAGCAGTTCAAAAGCGGAAATCAAATCCGACTACAGCATATAGCTCCAACTCCTACTCTTTTTTTAGACATGACCTGATTATGTGCTTTTTGATAATGCAGAAAGGAGCTGTGCACTTTAATTTGGTCCGGTTTATCATATTCCAGCCTTTTTTAAAGGTTTTAGTCGAAGTTTGACAATGTTTTTCTCGTGGGCGCTTGAGCGGGAACTGGGTTTTCAGTTCATAGAGGATGGATAGGGTTAGAGATATTTCTTGTAACATTCTTAATTGTCTGATAAGGTGTTATTTTTGTAATGTTGTCACTCTCTTCTGTGTGTTATAGTTCTTTGAACTGCACTAGCCATTGGCCAAAAAAATTATTTTGATATTTACTTTTCTTTTTAAGAAATAAAAGAAAAGGGAAATATATTGTTGTCATCATCCCAAACTCGCTACTTTTGGTTTAACAAATTATGTGCTTTTACAGGGCTGAAATTGGGAAAGTTGATTTTAGGTTTTAACCCATCTTAATCATCATGAATATGTGCTTCAAACCTAATTTAGCTCATTCTAATAGAATTTTTTAAGGCGACTTGCACTATATATAATAACATCGTTAAATTAATATGGTAAATTATTCGTTATATTTATAAGAAAATACATAGGTTCTACCTGATAAATAAATTAATAATCTCCTTGTATATATATGTGTGTGTTTTGATAGAGAGAGAGAGAGACTAGACTTTTGTAAAATAACTCCAATGTTACCTTTCTTTCTTGAAATTGATATCTATTTATACTTCATTTCTTACTTTTCTTAATGCATTAATTTTTTTTTTGATATAGTGTTCATGTACTGCAAGAGAAAATTATGCAATGAAATTGTTGTTTTAAGTGTATCTTTACGTGCGACATGTTTTATTCTAGAACTATTATTGTTAATTTTATATTTTTTTAAATTATTTTCATGATATTTTTAATAATTTGCTTTGTCACTCAATAACTTTAAAATTTCATCTTATTCTCCTAGGTAGTTTAAAAGGTCCTCAATATATATTATATTATATTATAATAATTCAAATCTTTAATTAGAACATATAGTTGCATTACAAAATATCAAATATTTTTTTGAAAAAACTCCATCTTTCAATTTTTTCCCCTTTCAATTGAATCTTTTTTCACTTTTTTTTAATAATTTTATCCTTTAATATTTAATTAATTTTAAAATGATCCTCATAAATTATTTTATTTTACCACATGTAAAATTATTATAATTTTAAATAAATATTTAATTTTACTAACAATTACTTTATTATGATATTATAAAATAAAAAATAATTTTAAAAAACAGAATTGTTAAAAGCGACTTCCATGATCTGCTTCATGGTTTTGACTTGATTAGTGGGGAAGCCTAGATTAATAATATATTATCTTGTTAAAACACTAAAACAAAAAAAAAAACTAATTAAAAAAAAAAAAACTAGTTGAAACTACCATGCTCAATACAAAGCGGGCGAAAGGGGCGTACACAAGTATAATATAAAACCCCTTTCAGTGGACTGTGGGCTCATCAACTTCGTCCAGTTCAATTCCCTCGGCGGCGAGCATCTTGTCCTTGTAGACATACCATCTGGCACAAATCAAATATATGACAAAGTTCAAAGCACTCAAGATTGCCACCAACCAGTAGAAATCATGGAGCCTCCCTTGGTTTAGGTTATCCGCTAACCATGGCTTGTTCCTAGTCACCTTGTGCACTATGGTAACCAACGAAGAGCTGACAAAGAACCCTAGAGAAAGGGTGCTCAAAAACAACCCCGTGCTCATCGTCTTCATCCCCTTTGGACACTCTCTCAGGAAGAAATCAAGCTGCCCTATATATGTGAAAGCTTCACCAGACCCCACAAAAAAGAATTGTGGGACCAGCCAGAACACAGTCAGAGGGATCTCGGCCGTTGGATCAGTAGCCAAACCATGTAATCTGGCGACTCTCCGCCTCTTCTTTTCAGTGAGTGCTGCTGCTATCATGCCGACAATTGATAAAACCAAGCCGACTCCTATGCGTCTTAATGGGGTTAGCCCTTGTGGATGCTTAAGCACTCTTCTTGCAACTGGGACGATAATTCGGTCATAAACAGGAACAGTCAAAAGAATGCTACCAACAAAGAAGACCGTCAGTGATGCTGCAGGTATTTGGAAAGATTTTCCGATGCGACGGTCCATGGTGGTGGCTTGTGACACAGAGAATGTGGTCATCTGGGCATAGACAGTCCAAAATATCACAGTAGTAGCCCAAATGGGCATCATTCTAATTACCATTTTCACTTCCTCCACATCTGTTAGGGTTGCTAAATTCCACTTGTTTACCTTGCCCCCTTCTAGGCCCCTGATCGCTGCTTTGTCCAAGAAACTGCACCGTATATGAAGATTAAATAAAAGTTATGGCATGATCAGTGTATTATCACGTCGTAACTCTCAAATTGCAAGATAACCCATCCATGGCCGTTAGCGACCAAGACATAATTTCCTATTTGTTTTCACTATCCAGATAAGGTTTTTTTAAAAAAAAAATTGAAGCTCAGACATTTGTCACGAGATAGCTTTTGGGGGAGGGGGGGGGGGGGGGG